ATACATTCTAGCCCGTCTGAAAAGGGGGGAGGGTACTATATATAGGAGGGTACTATACAGAACGCTTTACGGTAATTCTTCAATTGCTTCTTTTTGTGCAAGAAAATCAGATTCTAAAGATATTACTCAACGAGTACAATAAGAAATTTTTGAAGGATCATGAATTTTTCTTTACAATTTTTATATTCTAGTATTAATCCTTCAGATAGCTATTTTTCTTATTTTATTAATACTTGTTTAATTCCTTTTGGCTTACCTCAAAGTTTTTCATTATGATATGTGGCTGAAAATATCATTGATTATGACTGTTGATTTGGTCCAAAATAAGTATCATGCATATTTGGTTGCTTGTCATCAGGATTTAAATTTATTCGACTTGCAACTAAAGCATCTTTTCCAAATGTAGTATAATTAGAACTATTATCGAAGGCAAATACCATTACACAATTGGATACAATATCTCAAAAATAGGAATAGCTTTATATTTGATTTGTTCAAGAAGATGATTGGCTGTCCAGTAATTTTCTTGATTTTTACTAGGTTTCAAATAGCATTGTGCTTCTTTAGATATATTTGGATTTTGTAATATATCTGCTTGTTGTAAACGCAAACGTCCATTAATTTCAATAAGAAACTCACTAACCATTATAGATCTTCCATTCCTTTTTTTCATAGTGGTAGTTCTCCATTTTTGGCTCAAATTCCGCATTTACTATTGTTAGAATAAAAAATACACTCATTATGAATTACAAGAATTCTTTCTTTTTCTTCTTCAGGTAAGTTGGGATGTATAAATCCATTGTTTAACCTTCATACTTAGATATATATTTTTCATATTCAAACATTTTTTCTAAAAATACTTTGCGATATTGTAAAACATCATCTTGTTCATATCTGTCATAATATATACCTTAATGATGTTATTGAAATGAATAACCAAGAATATTAAACCATCTTGTTGCAGTCATTAAAGAAATAGATTTTTTTTTTGTAATTCTGATATCAGACTATTGCTTCTGTTCAACAAATTCTTTAAATGTAGCTAGCGTAGCCTTAAAATTTTGCTTTTAAACCCAAATTTGACATTTTTTAGCTATATCTTTATCATCAATTAATCTAATAGTATTTTGATGCTTTTCACGTTTAGATACAAGAAGTTCATTATTATATAACTAATAATTTGCATTATATCAGATATGTCACGTTTTCCATAGACCACTATCAACAAAAATAATTTTAGTTGCCTCTAAATTAGCATGCATTTTTCATTATTTAAGCAGGTAAGATATTCATAGATAGCTCTTTTTTTATTATATTTGGTAACGGTCATTTATTATGTTGCTTTCCTAATTGTTCTTTTAGACTTCGAGTTCTTTTATCAATTTGGTAAATATCTTTATTGATGATTTTATTTTCTGAATTACTTGAAATTTGCTCTATTTCATCAGATCGTATAATTGTAGCTTGATTACCAACTTTAAAAAAACTTGTAATTTTTTTAGTATTAATAGCTGCCTTGGTAAATGAACTGGTTGGTCCATATTTTCATAATAACTTGATCTTGAAGTCTTTTCTGTCATATACCGACCACGTTTTATTTTTTTTAATTCACTTTCTTCCTTTTACACTAATTTAAATTCTTTATTTTTTAGGTTTTGTATCTCTTTGATAACATCATCTTCATCGTCATCATCCCAACCACTATCTTCGTCATCACCCTATTCTTCTTTACCAAATTCTTTCATACCAAATAATTCCAAATCTATACTAATATTACTTTCATCCACAATCTTATCATCACCAGAAGTACCAAATGAATCACTATTATCAAAAGGATCAGCTGAATCACAATCACCATAAGGACCAGACGAGCCACCATTATAAGGACCAAACAAACTATCATTACCATAAAGACCAAAATAATCACTATTATTATAAGACGCAGTAACTGCAGTAACTGTGCCATAATAACCAGCATTTTTTTTTACAATTGTTGTTAATTAGAATTGAGAATTCAGGTTAATTTTGATTATCTGTACTTGGATATTGTGTTTTTTTAGTATCAAATTTGCCATCTATAGTGCGTTTTTGGTTTTTTTGATTTTCTTTTTTGCTTACAAAGAGGTGGCATTTTTAATACAATAAAAAAAATTGAAACGCGTTGTCAACGTCTGAAATCGACTTTACTGCGCTGATTATTAGTGACCAATGGAATGACGATATAATAAGCATGACCAATACTGTATTAAATGATCTGCAAAATTCCGGATTTTAATGATTCTTAGGATCTACAGGATTCTGGGAATTTGTAGGATTCTTAGGATTTACTGGATTCGTCAGATTATCCTGATTCGTTAGATTTTCCTAATTCCCTGTATTTCCATT